ATTATCAAATAAAGAAAAGCTATTAAAATATTAATAATAATAATTTTAATAATATTTTAAATTTAAATAATAAATAATAAATTATGTAAATTTTATAATTATGATTAATAAACTAATAAATAATAATAATATTACTATTAAGGTCTAAGCTTATTAGTAATTATAAAAAGTATATTAAAAATAAAATTATTAAATCAATTACTTTTATATTAATTTATTAATAAATTTATAAAATTATTTATAATATCTTAAGAATTTAATTTTTTATTATTAAATTTTATAGAAAATTATCATAATAATTCTTCTATTAATATAATCAAAATCTTATAATAATATAAATTAAATTGACTAATTTACAAATTTTTTAAATCTAATTTTATTTTACTATAATAATATTTTTTTGTATCTATAAGATATTAATAGATTTTATTAAAAATTTAAAAATTAAATGTGAAACTTTTTTTTTATATTATAATATTAATTTTAAATATTTTATTTATTTTTATATAAATTTAAATATATATTACAATTATATAAATAATATAAGATAAAAATATTATATATTAATTAATTAAAAATAAGTAAATTATTATTAAAACTAAAAAAAATAATCAGCCTATTAATTAATTATTAATATTAATTAATACTTATTTACTTAGATAAGTGAAAATTTAAGAAGAATATTTGTAATTATAAATAACATATATAATTTTATATTTAATTTTAGATACCATTATATAAAATATTATTTTTGATAATAATTAGTAGATAAAACTTAAAGAGTTTGTAAAAGATAAAATTTGTAAAATTTCAGAAAAAAATAAATTTTATTAAATTTTATAAAAATGGTGAAATTATATTAAAATCTTAGTAAAAAATAGCAAATTAAAGATTTAACTAAATAAAAATGGGTTTAGATAAGCAATTATATATATATTCTATTCATTAATAGTTTTATTTTTTTCATATTTTTATGCAAAGTATTATATTTTTTAATACTTTTATTTTTATTAAATTAATATTAAAAGATATATTATTTATTTGTAAAATTTACTTAAAAAAATAAAACTTCTTTTCATTATTTTATTACAATTTACTATGATCTGTTTATTAGTTCTAATTTTTTTTTTAGAAAAAAAAAATACTAATTTTTAATAAAGTCATAATACTGTATTATATAAATAGTTAAAATTATCATTATATATTTATTTTTACATTTACATATAATATAAATTTCTTAATCCTTTGAAAGAAATCCTTAAGTCTTACCTTAAGATCATAAAAAAATAAAAATATTAAAAATTAAAAAAAAAATTAATTAATTAAGAAATACTTACTTACTTTAAGACTTGACTAAAATATCTAGTATAACTCAACAAGTATTAGAAATGAATCCAATTATTATAAAATATGATAAGCAAATATGTGTTAGTTTCTATAAAAATGTTAAATGGTCAGACATTGATTAATGTATATTTTTTTTTTTAAAAAAAAATTCTAATTACTTTATTTTATTTTAATGGATTTATTTGAAATCCATTTGAACATATGTAACACAAATAAATCTTTTTGTAAAAATTTACATGATTATCTTGTTTGACTCATGACTCTCTTGAAGCTCTGCTAGTTCATAAAGAGTTACTGTAGGTATATCATCAGCTTTTCTTGAGGGAATTACCCACTTTAACTTTAAATTTTGCGTTCTGCCTTACTTTTCTTTTCTCCAATTCCTTGATTCTGCTCTTAAGCTAGACTCTTAGCTTTTAATTATCAACATTAACCTCAATAATTCAAGCTCGGATGGCATACTATGCTAATTCTTTTGGATCTTTTGTTAAATGTTTTTTTTGTATTGCTCCATTCTGTAGTAATAACAATTATTATTGTATTTTGCAGAGCATGGCATGGCTCCGTTTTACAAAGTAAAATCGATAAAATTTTTTATATAGTACAAGACGAGAATTACTAAATGTTATACTGGATGACTAATGTAAAGACCCGTTTTAATACAATAAATAAAAACAAGTGCGGACTTTGTTCATAATACATTGCGTTTCTATGCAGAATTATATATATATGCAAGAGGTTTGAACTGAAAATTTCAGTGATTTTGGAATGGTTTTGAAACCCGAGAGTTTATCAGCAGTTAAAGAGGAACTGAATGAATTAGGGAAAGAAAAGACAACCTTAGAACAAGAAAACGAGCAATTGAAAAAGAAAGACCAAGCCCAAGAAATAATTAATACTGCTTGGAAAATGCGCACATCGTGTCTTTACTTTTATGATATTACAAAAATTTTGAAACCGCCGGTTTTAGCTATTTGTTGTTTTAGTCATTAACTATATGCAAGCATATCGATCAACATAAAAAACATTTGGTTATAACAATAGCGTGAAATATTATAAACAATTTTATTACCCAACGATATTGAATTATAAAATACCAGTTAACAGGAAAATTATGAAATTTTAATGCTTCAATTAATTAATTTCCAAATTGCCACCAAGATTTTTTTCACAGGATTTGATATTTTGTAATCATTAAGATCCAAATTATATCCAATTAAGTCATCATCCTTCCAAATATAATTCACATTTGATACATCAAAATTGCTAATTAACGAGTTATAAATCGTATCATTCACCTTATCTCCTTCTATTTTTAACCTTGTCGAATTTTCTTCTTTAAAATCAAATCTAAATAATTTAGAAGTGACAAAAGATGAGCTAGATCCAAATGCATCAATGAAACATTTTAACATCAAATCATTATATAATAAGGCTGGCATGAGGATGAAAATAATCATGTTATTATTTGACTCTTCAACCTGAACAAAGCTTTCAAATTTTTGTTTTTCTGCTTCAGTGAAAGGAATTTTATCAAGAATTTCTGTCACTTTTGGTCCAACCTTTTCTCCCAAAGCGTCTTTCAGAAAATTATTTATCAATTTATCAAGAACTCCAAAACTAGCAGCTCCAACCGATTCAAGAGTCGAAAGAAAAGTTTCGTTTTCACTTAATGACATAATCCAAGAAACAAATGCATCTGCTGTCATAAATTCTAATCTACAAATTATTGTTGTTAAGATTAGTGGTGACACGAGCAGACCACCTATTGCTGCTACCACAAAAGATCCCATTGTCCAGAAACCTTCCCAATTATCATTTTCTGAAGTTATAAAATTGTCATTTATAAACGCGATAAATATGACAATTTTAAATAATGTTTTATCAGATATCATCTTAATTTATAAAAACTTTTGAAAATCGTTTTTAAGAAAATGAGAATATTCTTTTTATGTTTTTATAGCTCAGCGGGAAGGTTCTATATTCTCAAAGTGACAGAATATTTTTTTTTTTAAGAAGAGTTGCAAAACAAGTATCACTTATGGGAATTTACTTTTTTAGTCTTATTCACATCTATTAATTGCTCATCCTAAAGATGCAACTTCGGTCCATCTACCGTGGCTTACTGGGGTGCGCTGTCAACATAGTTTAATAAAACTATATATAGTCCTATAGTAAAATTTTCTAAATAAAATTTAATAACTTGTACTCTATTAACATATAAGTAACGCAGTAAAGTTAAATGGGTACATGATAATTTTAAGAAACATAAAATACCTCGTTTTTTTCGTTTATTTTACCTATTTAGAAGGTTTAATTTATTAATTTCGGAGTATTAATGAATTTTTTTAAAATAAGCGATCTATTTTGTGAAAGAGACGGAAATTTGGAGTATTTTCGAAAAATCTGAAATGAAAATGATAAGAAGAATCCAGAGTTATTAAAGAAAGAAAATATAGCTTCGATAATAGTAAATTTATTATAAAATAATTTAAATTATACTATAAAATAGTTTAATATAAAAAAATCTTCAATAGTAATTTTTGCTATACGGACCATACATAGTTTTGATTTAATTAGTTGACAGCGCACCCCAGTGGCTTACGTTGTGGCTGCGCAACAAATCATTGTGCTGTATATTTCCTTACAAATTTCAAAATAATTTAAGGTGACAACATTTTAACAGTTACCCAATTAAACCTTATGTGTGATTCTAAGCCGTAAAGTAAATAATCCATCAGCCATGTAGAATAAAAGGAACCGGAATAAAATAAATGCCAAAATTATGAACTTTATTTGATCATACAGTTTTTAAATACTTTCTTAATATATAGTACTAACTGTTTTATTTAGTTTTAAATTTTGAGAGTTAATATATACTTGAAAATGAGAACTTTATTTGGTAACCATAAAAAGATAAAATAAAATCATTAAATTTGTCATAGAAAAGATCATTGTACGAATATTGAAGAGTTATTGCTTTAATTTTTTTGGTGTGGTAAGGCATGTAGGACGCCATCAAAATTTCGTGATCGCTCCTTTTTCGCCCTGCCTGTTCAAAATCTTTTCGCTTTGCATACATTTTTATTGTTTCTCGTACTACAATATGATAATTAAAAAATGACAAGTGTTAAGGTTCATGAATCATTGCATGTCATTAAAATAAAAAAATAAGCAGTTAAAATAAATATAGAAAACCTTAATGTTTAATATTGCAGCCAGTTTGACCATACTGCTGAAAAATTCTCTTCTTTATCTGGGACCTTAGTACCTTTTCACGAATTCTACACACATAACCATGTGGATTTTCCATATACATGATTTCCATCATTAACCCTACAAAGTCGGTAGATGGTGAGTATACAATTCGTTATATAATATTTAGAAAATCATGCAGAAAAGTCATATACCCGAATTAGTTATTCCGTCAGTTTGAAGTTTTGAACGTATTTCCTAAGGTTGCCGGGCAAAACCCGGAGGCATCGAAACCGTCGAAACCGAAAAGTTTCGACTTTTGGTATGGTTTTGCCCGCAACCTTAGTATTTCAAATATCTTTAGGTTGATTTAAAATTTTTTCACTCACAAATTTTGTTCCAAATTCATCCTCCCAATGTCTTCCCACTTCACCCATCCATATTCGTCACGATAACCATTACCAGTCCCCTCGACGTTTCATACTACGTTTTTGTGTTGCATTTCTCTTTCTATTATTTCTGGTAGCAGTGTTGGCCTCCTTTATAAGTCAGCTAGTCCGATTGGTCGCAATGTTACTTTCCCATCTAGACAATGTGAACAGTAATAAGGAAAGAAAATGGTAATAATTTCACTTGATGTCTGCAAAGCCTTTGCGTGCAATTATACCATGATTCTAGATTTGATTGTTTAAGACCGCCATTCTCAATTTCTCTGGTTCTATAAAAGGAATGTTTATAAGAGAGTAAAAATATAAAAGAAAATCGTATTGCAGGCAAATTTTCTAAATAAATACATGAAAACTTACAATGCGTAAAGTGCGCCGAATATAATCCAGATCGTGGTAAATTGATGAATCATAACTTTCGTTGAATCTATCATCTTGCTTGTTAATTATAGAACGCACTTCCTTTGTACTAGTCTACCAGAAAAAGATAGTCTGCACAAGCGCTTCAAGGCCTTATTACGGGTTCTTAAAAACGATAGAAACAATAGACATATCCTTTGCTAAAATCTATTGTAAAAAGTAAAAAAAAAAAGTCCCTTCAATATTCAAAGATCGGACGGTAAGAAATACAAAAAATCTCTTCTTCCTTTTCTTTTATTTCTTTTGTAAAAGAATGATTTTATTTCTAGAACTAAAAAAAAAATAAAAAAAATGAAAAAAAATGAAATATCACGTTACGGATCATATGATTTATTTACTATTTTAATAGTATATACATAAATAGTGTTCGATAATGAAGATCCTCGAATCCCACAATTTCAACATTTCAAACATTTCAATATAAATAAGCACAGAATCCATCTTTCAGTTCCTCAGTATTCTCGTGAAGTAGACGATGTCTATAGGCTGACTTGGTCCCCACGTCTTCGGATAGGGCGACTTTGGTCTCCAAGTAGTCTAGTCTTTTTCATAAGGTTTATATGCTTCCTCTTGTGAAGGAGACGATGTCTATAGGCTGACTTTGTCGTTCAATAAAGGGCGACATTTGATCGCCAAGTAGTCTAGTCTTTCTTCATAAGTGGTAAATTTTTTTTTATATTAAAGCGGGTGGGATGATAGAGGGTACGCGGATTAACAATTATTAGATTTAATCGAAAAATCAGTGTATTTTTTTTTTTATATATTAAATATATTTTTTTTTGTAAATAAAATTTAAAAATATTTAATTAATTAGATATTATTAAGAAATTTTTTATGTTTAAGATAAAAAAAACTCTATTTTTGGTTTTTTGTTGCATTATATTTTAACGCTAAATTTTTAAATTCAAATTACTTAAACCTTTTAAACATAAATTAAATATAGTAAATTAAAATTGATCTTCTTAAAAACTAAATATTTTATAATTAATTTTATCAATATCTTTATCAATTAAATTTGATTAGAATAATTTTATTATTTGTAAATGATAGTTATTAGTTCTGAAGAGGATAGTAATTAATTATATAGTCCTTCACTTCGTTCTAGACTAATAAATATTTTAAAGTTTAAAAAAATAATATAGGTGTTTTGCAATAGAAAAAAATAAAACTATTAAAAAAAAATTTTTTTTTTTTACTTTATAAGCTAAATATTATTTTTTTAGTAAAATAAATCCAGATTTAATATTAACTCAAAAAAATTTTTTGATAATTTTCTCTTTACTACAAAGTACCTATATAAACTTTTTACATATAAATTTAAAAAGTAATATTATTTAATATAATTTGTAGTAAATTAAAATTTATAATATAATAAAATATACTTATTTTTATTTAAATATTAGTTTTTTTATCCTTATTATTTGTATTAAAAAATCTTTTAATCTAATACTATTATTATTAATTTTAAATAATATTTAACTATATTATTAATATTATATTTATAGTAATAAAAGATTTAATTTTTGAAGTAATATAACTATCTAAAATAAGATATTATATAGGAGAATTTCTAGAAAATCAGGTTTAAGAAATTTTTAACTAAAATTAAGAACTTAATGCATTTTAATCTAATAACATCAAAAATTAAAATGTAATAAAAATCTTAATTTTGTTAACAAATTCTCAGAACTTGATTTTTTTAACAATTAACCTATATTGTATAATTTAAATGATAAATATAAAATATTATAATAAAAAAAGTTAAAATAATAATTTATTTATTATTAGATATAAAATTAATATAAAATTTATTGAAAAACTTTATGTATTTTTATAAATAATATAACAAACTAATTATTACTGATTATAAATTATACAATTTATAAATATATATTATTATCAAAAAAACTAATTAAACTATAAAAAATTATAAAATCAGAAAATACTTTACTAAAATTTTAATTTTAAGAAAAAATAAAAAATAAATATAAGTTATCTTTAAAAAATTAATTTTATAAAAATATAAAAATATTTAGAATAAAATCATTAATCTTAAAGAATTACTTAAATATTTATTCTAATAAAAATGTATTTATAAAAAAAAGTAATTATCCTTTCAAGTATATTGTAGACAAATTTGTCTGCACTTTTATTTAATAAAATATTTTTAAATATTTTTAAAATAATTTATTTAAAAATTAATATTTTTATAATATTTTTAAGTTTATGTAAATATAAAAGAAGTCAATTCTAAGTAAAAATTCAAAAAAAATTGTGATATTTTAAAGATAAATATATAATAAATTATTATAAAAAAAAAGTTAAAATTTAAACTTATATATTTTAATCTTAAAAATATAAAAAATAGAATATTAAAAATAAGTATAAAACTAAGTATTTTTAAACTTTATTTAATTTGTAAAATTAAGGTTATTATTAGTATTAGAAGATCAGAAGAATTATATAGATCCTTCATATTTTTAGATAGATTAATCTTATAAAGTCTGTAATTAAAAAAGAATTTTAAATTACTTCAAAACAATGTGAAAAAGATAATGTATCTCACTGTCAATGCTTGACCACATGAGAACTTTAGCATAGTTGCATTCTCTATCACCACATTGAATTTTGTTAAAGTGTTATATAAGGAAATTTCTAACTACTTTTTACTAATAATGATTAGTTACAAATTATGACACGCGCCTGATTTTTGAGAATGATTATCAGATAATTTATCTATAATTATCTCATAGAACTTTTTCTTATTCTCATTTTAGCATATAGCTTAATGACTGTAATATTGAGATCAACAAAATATTTACACTTTATGTCATCCAACTTTGAAGGTATACATTTCTATTTTAATAATGTCAAAGCTCAGAACTGGTGATTCAAACATTATCTATACTATTGCTTGAAAAAAGATAATCAATCTTATCTTGAATAAACCTCTATAATGACTGAAAGAAATCACTAAATGTTATTATAAAAAGCGATATTAAAAAATTCTGAGTAGTATGCATACTTTCTGTACTAATCTACTAGATAATGATGAAACTTTCGAAGGTTTTATTATTCTGCAAAACTGTAAAGAATTGTATGAAGATTTTTATGATCAGAACCTTAAGATACAAATCTCTGATAGAGTTCAAAAACTAGAAAAAACTTTATTCACTTCTCAAAAGATTTTAAAGCATTTTCGAAATATAATAAAAGGGATAAAGTGATCATATGATGATAAAGAAGTATAGCAAAGTGAAAAACGTAGTTGACAAAATGTATGGATTTTTGAATCTAAACTCAATTAAACTAAATCTATGTTATTTAATATGTTATCAACATTACTTATTTTGACTTATCTTTATTTTATTATTTATAATATAGCATATTGTTAATAGTCAAGATAACGAAAAAAAGAATTCAACAATGACAAGTCAGAAGCAGATTTAAAATACAGTGATGACAAGTCAGATCTTAATAAAGATGAAAATGTAATTAAAGATATTGAAAAACAGATCGAAGTTGAAATTAAAGTTAATTTAAATGTATCTGGATCTATTTCAGAAGATCTGACAAATATTTCAAAGTATCTTGATGAAAAAAGCCCAATAGATGTTTAGAAGTTACCTTCTAGAATAACTGTTGCTGAAGCAATCTGTGATCCTACCATTCTTCACAAATCTCAGTAAATTCCAAATCTTTTATTTTTCTTTTGCATTTTATCTAAGCCTTTGCATACTTAACCATCTATATTATAGTCCATCTAATCTAAAAATTATACGCATTGAAGCAAATGTTCGACAACTTAAATGAATTCAGAAAAATGATTGAAGATACTTACAAGCAAGCATTAAATATCCTGAATATCCTCTAGCTAATAATATGACTGATCTCTTCAATACTCTGCTTGAAATGGTAATTATCTAAAAGATATTTTTCTAATATATTTTAATCTTTATTCATTTAACTAACTATAAAAATCACTGACAGAATATACAGAGGTTCTTTATAATAAAAAATTTAACTTTAAGGAAAATAAGCAATTAGTATTTGTCACTGATGTACTTTTATGATTGTAAGTATATTTAACTCAAGTACTAATTATTGTTCTTATAGTTATTAATTATTATTTTAATTTCAAAGTGCGAAAATAGTGTTCAATCCTACCAGTGCTTTTCATAATCCCATTCACAGGAATCAGTTCTGAATTCTCTCCTAATTTATCCTATTTTACAGTATCTTACCAATGCAAGTGATCATGATATTATTTATATACCGTAGATATCAAATTGACAGTTCTTTTATTTTTTTTCTTGTAATAACAATATTTTACAAAAACAGAGAAGAGGCTTATCTTCAGGCAAGTGCAAACTAACGTTTAATCTAACGTGATCTTAAACCAGAAGATGATAAGCTATTGGGTCTCAAAGTCAATGGGATTTTTTAGTCATCTGATATTAAATTTAGAATAGTTAAATTGTTTGATGATATTTAACTTGTGATTTGCTCTGATATTTAAAGGATCATATTCATGAATTCTAAAGTCAGATCTTCTTAATGATACAGTTGCAAAATTTGTATGTGATGATTTTAAGATAATGAGACAATTACGCAAATGATTTTTGCATATTCATTGTATATAAAGTGTATATTTTGAATTTTGCTTTTAATACATATTTAAGTATATTTACTTTCCAATAGAACAGGATATTTAAATATAAGGGATAGACCTACCTGTTAAATATGTTTATTGAATATTTTTACTTGATATATTTCAATTTCTAATTAATTGAAAGAATCATTATGAACTTCTGAATGTAATACCTATCCTGTGAAATCTAGAAGTATGTAAAAAATATTTTTGACTTTACTCTAATAATAAGAACATCTAATTACAAATTATTTTATTTTAGAGGTGTTTAGATAATACTATCAAAATTCTTGAGGAACTGAAGAAATCAAATCACCAATATTCAATTTTACATTCTCAATTTAAGTATAAAGAACTGTCTTCACTTAAATATTAATAAACTTTCTAGATATTGTTTTCACTGATTGATTTTAGTTATATTAATTAATATTAAATATGTAGCGTCATAAATTATCAAAATGTTTATCAGCTATTTTTCTTAGTAATTTATCGCAGAGTATATGTGATTTAGTTTTAGGTTAATAATTAGCAATAGAGGCATCAGTAACTCTAAGATATTCAGTTACGCTTATCTAAGTATAACTTATCAAAGTAAGCTTTAAAAGCATTAGCGTAGGATAAATACACAAACTTAGAGTACTCGTAATAATGTAATAATTGCATGATAGTGGGATTCTTAGATTGAGCCATTAGCATTTTTTTTATATGTCAAAATGTATTCGTTAATCTAACCACATCGAGATTGGTTTGAATTTTTATAAAAAATAAACTGTATTGTGCTATGAATTTCATTGATTCAGATTAATCATTCGTATGATATAGAATATTATTATCATAGTTTATTATCATAATATAGAAACAGGCATCGTCAGTAGATCTGTCATGTAAACTACATGATAGTTTATTATATGATATGATTTCCCAAAATTGGATTATATTAACACAATATTATTATTATTATTATTATTATTATTATAAGAAATTTTTTTGAAATATTATAACTATTAATATTATTTGCGAAAATTATAATTACATATTTTTTATTATTATTTCTAATAAAATATGTTTCTAGTTTTATCCTTTCATGATCTTGGCATAGTTAATCAGTGTTCATATTTCTTTTAAGAGGATTAAAGTTAGATGCAACTATTTTTTTTTTTGTTACAAATTAGCAGATTAATGATGAGTCTAAAAAAAATAAATTTATTTTTAATCATTAAATAAACTAATTAGTGAAATAATCCAGATTATTTGCAGATAAAATTATTTGTCTGTCAGTTAAAAAAATGATTTAGATGATAATTATACATCTACTGAAAACTAAATAAATAATTTGCGAATTATGAGCTAAATATCTGCAAATGATTAACAGATCGCATAGATAATAACAAATCTGTGAATATCTGAATATTTGTGATTAGATCTAATATTATCCAGTCTAATTATACACACATTTTATATTTTTATATATTTATTAATTTGTTTTAAACCCATTTTTCATTATTATTTATTTTATTATAATTTCGTTATAATATTATTATTTATTATAACCAAATTTACATACTAGAATTTTTTAGCAGGGATGAATATTATTAACAATTATTGCACTTTTCTCTAGTAAAGTATTTCTGAAATAGATTAGAACACATTACAATCTGAAAAGTCATTGTAATATTTTGAATTTATTGTATATAGCTATATAAGGATTAGGCTGTTTATAGTAGAATTTTTAAAAAATTATATTATATGTGATGTTTTAGTCAATTATAAATAAATTTTTTGAAGCTTTTCTTAATATTCAATTACAATTTTCTTTATAATAAACCTTTAAATCTTTATATAATCATTTAAATTATTGTAATTATTTGTATTATGCTTTATTGAATGTTAAAGTTCAAATACAAATTGTAATAAATTATTGCAAATATTCATGGATTTGACTTATGAATTAGTATTAATTTGTAAATATCCATTAATATTTGCAGATAATTTGCGGATAATTTTCACAAATCTGCAGTACTTAAATGTGATCTAGATATTTGCATTATCTGGATATTTATGTGATTATTATCACAAATCGCTTTTCTAAAACTAATATAATAAATAATTTTACTTTGTTTAATAAATAAATCCTTAAACTTAATTATCAAAGTTTGGTAACATTTCTTTCATATTCTTCATCATGATTTTTGATATCTTCCAAATTATAATTCATTGGTAATAAAGTATTTAGATTAAAATTACCAATAGAAATATTATTTATATTTTGTTCATGTTCAAACTCTTACCAAACTATAACATTGGATTGTAAAAGTAATGGATAATTTTCATTTCTTCAAACCTATAATTATCAAATAATACTAGTATTAATAAATTAATAATAATAAAATAATAAAAAAAAAAGATGTAAAATAAGGTGTAATCAACAAATCATATTAAAAAATATATTTTTCATTTTTCCTATTAGAATGACTAAATGTTTACAAAGAAAAAAATTAGTTTGTCAAGAAATATAGACAAAAGCATATCTATTTCTGCCTATCTGTAATATATTTATTTTAGTTTAAAATAGTTTTTGATGCTAATTTTCACTATTCAGTCTTAAATTCTTTTTGTCATAAAGGTAATTCACGATTACAATACAGAAGATGATATTATTCTAATTATTATGAAATTAATTTGCTAATAATTACATAGCAAAGTAAATTAAGTCTTGATCAGAAAAATATGTAAATAATCATGTTTTAATATTCTCCAATGTGATTTAATAAACATTGTTGTTTTGTAAATTATAATATCAGGAGATGAACAACAAGCCCAAAGAATAAACTGATTCTATGAATATCAGTTTTTCTATAAATATGCCAATGCCAATTCTAAATTATTATTATAATAGAACTGAAATATTCTCTAATACATCGGATTCAGATTTCTTTTAGATCTGTAATAAATTTTTTGTCAAATGTTGAAATTAACATATGTTGATAAAAATGTTATTCCATTTGTTGAATTATTGTATCTCTATAATGCTTTAAATAAAGAATTTGAGATGAATTTTTGGATTTTGTTTATTTTATTTCAGTATTACTTGAAAAATTAACAGACTGAATTATAACTAGTTGTTAATTAGGATTAATAACTAAACATTATTCATGTGTTTCTTGAGCATTATATTTTATTTGAGTTACTTATTTTTTAGATGATAAATATTGCTTAACAGCTTGCTTCATAAGTCACAAATACAATTGAATGCAAACATTTGACCAATTTAATAATGCGACATTAATTTGTATCACATTCTTATCTGTTAAAATCTTTTTTACATTATTCATACCATACATCTTAAATATTACAAACCATCCTGCTAATATCTTTGTCATAGGTCAATTTTTTTTAGTATAATAGTAGAAAAGCAGGCCATTAATAATTCTCATTATTCTATATAATTCATATTTTAAAATATTTGTATTATAAGTAGCATTATTTTAAAAGTGTAATGTTGAAATTAAAAAAGTAATAGTGTGATAAAAGCAAAAGTTTATGAGTTCAGTAGTTTCATAAATAATTGAATAATTTTTTTTCTTGAAGGAAAAGTTAAGCATATATGTATTCATTATTATTTTATTAATATTCTAATACAGCTTAATAATTTTATCAGTAATGTACTTATCCTTTAGTTAATAATTCATAAACTGGTAACTTTTTTTCTTTGATTTCACTGATACATTTAACTTTATATTAGAATTAATATATTGTTTTATATGTTCTGAACATTGGTTTAAAAAATACAAAGTTCATTTTTGTAATTAATCTTTATAATAATAAATTTATCACATTAATAACAAAAGATTCTTAAATCTGTATTACATTATTTAGAAATATCTTCATATTTATTTTGAACACTTATCTAGTTTTTTTTACACATATTATATTAATAAAAAAATAATATTATTCCTTTTATTTATATTA